TTAAATGTTCTAGTTAAAATTAAATATTAAAGTTTATAATAGTTTGTAATAGTTTTTTATTAAATGTCATTATACTAGTAACGTATTAGCTATTGTATCTAGATTCTATTGTAACTTTTTAACATATATAAAATTTTCTAAAAAAACTATAATAATATAATAAATAATCATTTCTATTAATTTATAGTAATTAAAATCATGTAAAATCATAAATACTAACAATACTGTCATAACAAACTAAAACAATACTTACTTGAAAGGTATGGGTATTGGAAGGGGGACGGGTATGACACCAATTTTGAGCTCTAATTACAATAGAAAAGCACCGAGGTGATATTTTCATACAACGTATGGACAGCGGACAAGGATCAGGCAAAAAAGGCAGTGATTATGAAACAAGGGAAATGGATTGAAAACTTTGTGAGCATTACTTTTGGACTTAACCAGAAATAGGGCGGACAGTACGGATTTGATGACCTGGGCCTCGAGCCTACTGAGCCGTGCGTTCACGGGTGTCATGTGCTCCTGGATCAGCATCAGTTCCAGCGCCAGTATGGCCACTATGGCTAACGTCGTGTAACGGCGTCGGCTACTGTATCCTAACGTCATTTTCTTAGGAAACTTTTTTCCCAATATATTAATATTCAAAAAAATTATTATTATTAAAATGTATTCACTTTTCCAAAGCTTTTAACTTTTGCTACTTATATAATATAATATACAGTATTATATAAAAACATAAAACATAATATAAAACACGTTCTTTTGAAAAACTTCACTATTTATTATAGCACTATATATTAGCATACCACGTTTTTAATTTCTTAAGTAGTGTTGAATACCAGTGCCCAAAGTTGGCGGACCTCTTATATACCGTATTTCTCTTAAGTGGTTAAACTAATCGTGAGATTACGGAAATCAAATCACTTTTAATTTCTAATTTGATGGCTATTATAGGCAAAAGATTTCATTTAAAAGAGTGAAAATAATTTTTATTAAACATAAAAATCATTGACAAAAAATTGATGAAAACTATATTTATATAAATTTCTGATACAGAAACTGAAACAATTTTAATCGCTAATTAAAGATAATTATTAACAATTTATTTATGTATAGTTATAGTTATAAGATATTTATTTTTGTGCGATTAATATTTAAATTTAATTTATATATTTTCGTGTGCATAAAAGTAAAATATTTAACAAATTTAAAAATTAGAAAAAGATAACTAAAATCCAATTATTGATGTTTAGTTTATATTTTCATTTTTGTATAGTATATTATGCAGTATGTTATACATTATATCCGCTAGGCTTATATAAATACCTTTTTGATGTATCACTAGATATGCATCTCATGTAATGATTTATATAATAGTATTATATGTAGATTTTATACATAAAATACACAGTACTCTACATATCTATCAAAATAAATGAGATGTTTTAATTTAATCTCCAATACCGTATAACCCGGGTTATTAAACATAAAAATGTACTTTTGCTATTGTTATGCTATTCTTATCCCCAGTCTCTAAATTAGTATCGGGTTGTCCATGTTTCTAAATAAGTTAAAACATAGCTGATAGTCAGTCATGTGGTAATTTAATTGAATGGGAGCCTAGAGGGTGACTGTTTGTATGCTTATTATTAAAAAAGTAAACAAAAATGAACAAATTATGTATCAAAAATAACTAATAGTAATTTTAAACATTTATCATAATATTTATTTAAAGACATTAACATACAGTATTTCATTTAAAATTTAAATTTTAAATAATAGTAATTAATATTGCATTTAATATAATAAATATATAATAATATTATTATAAGCTTTGAAAATGTATAAAAATTGTATTTTACAGAATATTCTGATTATAGTGGACTTTTGTTTTGTGATTTTTACAATCATAATAAGCACTAATTATAAAATACAACTGTATTCATTAAATAATATTTATTACCAGTTTATTTTCTATCTAGTTTCTTACTAAAATATAACATTAAAAATAAGCATCAAACTATGCCTGAACATTTCTGAATTGTCATCTGAAAGGTTAAGTTATTAATTGTTATTTATTACCCAATAATCTATTAATAAACACATACTTATGAAGTAAACAAAATATACATTTTTATTGTTTGTAAAAGTGTATGATGGTTTAATTAATTATAAGGCGATCAAAATATTATTAATTTAACAGCTTAATACAGTATTCATAAATTACTTATTACAGTACAGCATCATAAATTACTAAAAATTCATACTGGTAATTATCAATCATTAAAAATTGCTTAACATACTTTGATAAATAATTATGTGTTAACTATTACGGTAATTGTACCATAAGTAGGAATGTAACTATTATTAAAAATGCATACAAACAATTTTATAACACTTTAAGTATAAAACATTCAGATCTGAACACAAAAAGTATTTTATTACCGGTATAAACATAATGATAAGATATATGAAATGCTAAAATCACAAAATTTACAGCATTTTAAACAAACAATTCATACATAACTCTAATGCTTTCGTTTATGGTTATATAGACCTGATTTGTATCGAAACCTTTTGTCGCAATTATCGCATCACAAACTTATGGGTTGTCTCCCGAATGACTGCCCTTATGGGCATTGAGTTGCGATATGTCATCAAATTTTTTGCCACAATCGTGTTCATCGCACACATATCTCTTGATATTGAAATGAACGACATTTTTGTGATGATTTAAAGCCGATATCCGAGTGAATGCTTGTTTGCAATCCACGGCATCACAAACATATGGTTTGACTCCCGAGTGAACGCGTTTGTGTCGAATTAGATCTGATTTCCATCGGAAGGTATGGCCACAATCCTCCACATCACAGACATATGGCTTATGCTCTGAATGAATGAGTTGGTGTTCATTGAGATGTGATTTTGTGGTCAATTTTTGTCCGCAATTCTCTTCATTACACACAAACTTCTTAACCTTTAAGTGAACACTATTTTTGTGTTCATTTAGGGCTGATATCTGAGTGAATCCTCGTTTGCATTCCTCGACATCACAAACGTATGGCTTTTCTCCCGTATGAATGCCTTTGTGTTCAATGAGGTGTGACTTCCATTTGAATCGTTTGTTACAATTGGGATTCAAACACATAAATGGTTTGTCACTCACAGGACAGGTATTACTGACACCACTCGTGCCCTCCCTGTCCACTACTGTCTGCCAGTCGTGTCTCTCGTCTCTGACATCCATTTCCACCAATTCTTGTCGATCTGTCTGTCCATCCCTCACATGCCCCCCGCTCTCATCTTCTCTGACATTCATTTCCAGTACTTCTGTCTCACTATCGCTTCCATTCATCTCTATGTCCAAAGTCTGGACCTCCTGTTCCTCCGATAACACCTGGACTTCACCGCCACTCTCATCGACCACTTCATCCATTCCTCTCACCTCCCGGTGCTCTTCGGGTTCACCATTCAATGGGTTATTATTGGCATTAAAGCGACAAAAATCCAAACCATTTATCAAATCAATTGAAATGTCATTCATTAATGGTTTTCATTAATAATAACTGAGTTTTCATTCAAATTATTCACATTTTTAATCAAATGTCTGTTAAAATTTATAACATTTGACAACAAATTCAATTCAGACATCAATTGAGTGTTCATTGAATTGATACTCATTTTGATTGCAATTAACACGAAATCAAATTAAACACAATTTTTTAACAAATAATTTTGATTACTTTTTGAATGAAAACACAAATAAGATTTAATATGATTTTAAATACAAATAAATTCAATTAATGTGTGATTAAAGAAAACATTAACTAATTGTGAATACAATTTGATAGACAATTACTACAAAAAACAATGCTTTCGCTCAACGATTCAAAAATGAGACAAATCTTGAGTTTTGAGACAAAGTTGTGAACAAAGCGTTGACTGAATGGTGAATGCATTGAATGTTAATTCAATGTCAACTCATTGTTACTGTGAGTCACAGTAGTTATGGGACACGTGTTTCAAAAGTTTTAAAACACAAATAATTTTATTAGTTTTAAAAATCATTATTTTATAAATTGTGTCAATCATTTGAATCATGGGTTGGTGTGAAATAGTGGGGGAAAGGGAGGGAAAGGTAGGGAAAGGCATGCATTTCATGATTGAATGGTATTTTCATGAAAGGGTTGTCTAACTGTGACTCACATTAACAATGAGTTCATTGAATTCATTCACCATTCAGTCAACGATTTGTTCACAACTTTGTCTCAAAAATCAAGTTTTGTCTCATTTTGCAGTCATTTGTGAAATATTTTGTGTTTTATTTGAATTAATTGTGTTTAAAATGAATACCAATTCAGACATCAATTCAATTACAAGTGATTTGAAGTGGAAATTGAATTTTGTTTCAAAACTGAAGGCATTTAACAAACAATTACTTCAAACGGAGACACAATTCAATGAAAACTCAGTTTTACTTCAGATTTGTGTCAATAATCATGAATTGAATGACAAATCAATTGATTTCAGAAATGCTTTCAATTTATTGAGAATTAACGGCAATAATAAACCATTGAATTACGACATCGTTGGGCACCGGGAGGGACAGGCATTGGATGGAGTGGTCGATGAGAGCGACGATGAAAGGGATGGACAGACGGACGGACAGCACGTGTTGGGGACACAGGAAGGCATGGACTGTGTTGTGAGTGACGGACAGACGGACACAGAAGTGGAGGAAAGGGATGAGAGGGACGACACTCACGACTCGCAACCCATTGTCACCGATAAGACATCCGATGGCGACGACAGTGAAGGCAATGATCGTCCGTTTGTCTGCATTGAAGCCAATTGTGGCAAACGATTCAAATGGAAATCACATCTCAATGAACACAAACGTATCGTTCATTTAAAGCTAAAGAGATTGATCTGTGATGCGAGGGTTGTGGTAAACGGTTCTCTCAGAAAATACATCTCAATGATCACAAACGCCTGCATTCGGGAGATAAGCCATTTAAATGCTATTTTACTGATTGTGGCAAATGTTTCACAACTAATTCATCACTCAATCAACACAAACGCTGTCATACGGGAGAAAAGCCATACGTTTGTGATGGCAATGATTGCGGACAACAATTCCGATGCAAATCTAATCTCAATCGTCACAAAAACGCGGTTCACTTAAAGTCCAAGAAATTTGTGTGCAATCAATACAACTGTCAACACAAATGTGCCTCAAATAGGGATCTAATTCTTCACAAACGCGTTCATACGGGAGAAAAGCCATACGTTTGTGATGTCGAGGAATGCAAACTCGGATTCACTCGGAAATGGGGTCTAAATAAACACAAAAATACAGTTCACTTAACGAATGAGTAGTTTGTATGCATATAATAAATGGTATATTTATATCAATTGTATTGAAATAAATGATAAATAATGAGTGAATTTTTTTATTTCAAATTTTCACACAAAATAACAAACATAATTTTGAATTAAACAGTTTCGGACACAATTTGAAAGTTTGCGTTTGAAATAGAAAAGTACAATTTTTGGTATATAATAACAAAGTATGTGACAAAATTTTGAATTAATTATATTATAATAAAAACATATTTTTCATTCACTAAACATTCAATTAATAAAACAAAGTTTTTACATAAAACACTGTTATACTATCAAACATTAGATTTGAAATTATCTTATATACAAAAACAAATAAATTTTGAACAAAAACTATATAGGAACCATTTATTAAAGATATTTACTAGACAACAACTTTTAAACTGGGTAAATTAAATTTTGTAAACAAAAACACACTTTAATAGTAATATTCTGTACAATGAATCCAGTGATGAATTTGTATGAAATGAATGAATGATTGGATGAATGAAAATATTTGAAAATAATTTTGATATAAAAATCATACAAAACTAAACATGGCACTTTAACTGGATAAGTAGGTTAAGATTGGGAACTGAAATGGTATGTTTGACTGTTGATTGTAAAAATATACTGTATGTAAAATTATGTTTAGTTAAGTGTGAGCACAGGTAGCATAATATTATACATATTTAATTTGGACATTAATTTTGAGGTTTTGTTTTCGAAGTACCGAGGAATATGGAGGTCATTATGAGGAATGGGAGGTTTGTATGTTGTGTAGGTATATGTGGAACGGTATGTATGTGTTGAACAGAATTATTAATACAAAAGTACATAAATTTGTGTATAGTTTGCGGGAATCATATTAATTTGGAAATAAAGTCAAATAATTGTTTGCATGGCGTGAATGGGACGGGTATGTCGGGTATGGAGGGATCGGATGACTGGGGAACTGGAGGGTAGGTATGGTTGAAATGGATATCAATGGGAAGGAGGTGGGAAAGGGATGTGAAGTGCGAGCAGGGGTTGTGGTATTAGTGATGAGCGTGAGATGTGATGAACAAAATGTTTTTTGTAATGAATAATTCAAACAATAAAAACTTAACAAGTTACTTTTTAACAAGGCACTAAACGTTATTATAGCAATGGCTTATCAATACTGAGTATCAGTAATCAATAAAAATCCACTATTTAATAGCCGCCCCCATACCCTCCGCCATACTCGTCACCACCGCCATACCCGCCCCCATAGCCACCCCCGTGTTCGGCTCCATAGCCACCCTCATATCCACCGTCGACATAAGTAGGCGCCTCCTGTACGGGATAATACTCTGGATACGGTTGTTTCACTGGTATGGGACAGGTATGATAGTCATTATTAATATTACTAGGCTATATAGTTTATATCTAAAAATAATTACCTGGGACATTGTGCACAACAGGAACTTTGTGAATGTTTTTCTTGACGACCACTGGTTGTTCAGGTTTCTCTATCCTAGTAAACGTGAATTTGATCAAGTTAATATCACTAAATAGTGAATATTATAAGTAAATGTAATCATAATTAGGTTAATTTAATGTTGTATGTGTAGAATATAAAATACAATAATAGTATTTTATTCTATTCATTATATTAGTTAATAGAATAATTAATATGTTAATAAGAATTATATTTTTTATAATATGTTTTAATATAATTATAAAATAAAAGTTTTGTAATAAATTATCAATACTAGCACATATAACTTACAATAGGGAAAGATAATCTAAATTATACATTATTGATAATAATAATAATAGCAAAAACAAAATTACTTACTTGAAAGGTATGGGTAGCGGGAGTGGGATGGGTATGAAACCAATTTTAGGCTCTAATTACAAAGCATCGGTAGATATAAGCAAACATAGACAATGGACAGGGATCAAACAGAAAGCAATGATTAGAAAACCGAAACAATAGACATGGGAAATGGATGCGACAAAGTATGCCATACTTTTAGACTTAAGCAGATATAAGAAGGACAGTATAGATTTGATGGCAATTGCCTCGGCCTTGTTGGTGATGAGGGCGTTCACGGGTTTCATGTGCTCCTGGATCAGCACCAGTTCCAGCGACAGTATGGCCACTATGGCTAACGTCATGTAACGGCGTCGGCTACTGTATCCTAACGTCATGTTTGTCGGTATATATGATATTCACCACAAAATTAATTCAACAAAAAAACTTTTAATTTTTAAAATGTATGCACACTCTGGAGACACACTTTCACTACTAGTTTATATATAAAACACTTTTTGTAAAAACTTCACTATTACTATATATAGTGAAATTAATTTAGCATACACGTTTTAGATCTGGGATTTAGATATGAATACCAGTGCCGCAAAGTTAGCGGACTTCTTATATACCGTTTTTCTTAAGTGGTATACAAGTGGTTAAAGGGAATGGGAAGTTATATAGAGTAGGGATTGGCCTAACAAACTGATTGAAACACTTGTCCTCAATTCACTTTCAATTTCCAATGAGAGGTTTATTATAGGCAACCGATTGTAAAAAAGAAAAGTTTTATTTATTACACATAAAAATCAATCACAAATAAATCTAATAAAAACTATATTTATATACAAATCTGGGGTAAAATTATGCTTTATGTGAGCACAGGTAGTGTAGAAATATGGTATTGAATTTAGACAATAATTTTGAAGTTTGTTTATTAAACATCGGGGTATACAAAAAATATATAAAACATAATGTTGTATAATATATCATAATTTTGTTATTATAGTAATTTTAAATATGAAATTCATTTTCAATAAGGTTTTATTTGGTGTGAATTTTAAATACTGTATGATATAACATGATAACTTACTATACTAAATTTAACTAGTACCTAGGCACACGTATAATATCGGATTAAAGTCTTATTGTTAATTTTAAACTGATTACAGGTATTAAAAATTTACTTTATCATTTTTATTAATAGATGTGTATATAAATTATAATCACAAATGAATTTACGAAAATAATGAGTGAATTTTTATTTCAAATTTTGACACAAAATAACAAACATAATTTTGAATTAAACAATTTTGAACACAATTTGAAAGTTTGCGTTTGAAACAGAAAAGTACAATTTTTGGTATATAATAACAAAGTATGTGACAAAATTATATATTCGTATAATAAAAACATATTTTTCATTGACTAAACATAACTACATTTAGTTAATAAAACACAAGTTTTTACATAAAACATTATTATAATAGCAAACATTAGATTTGAAATTATATACAAAAACAAATTAATTTTGAGCAAAACTATCCGGAACGAATTATTAAAAATTTCATATCTACGAGATAAAAACTTTAACTGGGTGAATTAAATTTTGTAAACAAAAACACACTTTAATAGTAATATTCTGTACAATGAATCCAGTGATGAATTTGTATGAAATGAATGAATGATTGGATGAATGAATGTATGAAAACAATTTGAGTGAAAAAAATAATAGTGTGAAAATAATTTTGATATAAAAATCATGTAAAACTAAACATGGCACTTTAACTGGGTAGGGTTGGGAACTGGAGGGGTAGGTTTGACTGTTGAGTGTAAAAATAAATGTAAAATTATGTTTAGTTAAGGGGTGAGCACAGGTAGCACAATATTACATGTTTAATTTGGACTGTAATTTTGAAGTTTTGTTTTCCAAACACCGGGGTATATAAAAAATAACTGCGGTTACGACATATGGGGGTTATTATAAGGAATGGGAGGTGTATATGTTGTGTAGGTATATGTGGAACTGCATGTAAGTGTGGCAGAGAGTGAGGTGTATGTATATAATGAATTGGTGAGATATATGGCACCGGTATGTATGTGTTGAACAGACATATTATTACAAAAGTACAGAATTTTGTGTATAGTTTTCGGGAATCATATTAATTCGGAAATGAATTTTAAAACAAATAATTGTTTGCATGGCGTGAATGGGACGGGTATGTCGGGTTCGGGGGGATCGGATGACTGGGGACTGGAGGGTAGGTATGTCTTAAATGGATATGGATATCGATTGAAAGTTGTGGGAAAGGGATATGAAGTACGGGGGGCAGGGGTTGTGATATTAGTGATGAGTATGAGATGTGATGAACAAAATGTTTTTTGCAATCAATAATTCAAACAATAAAAACTTAACAAGTTATTTTTTAAACGTTTAACAAAGCACTAAACGTTATTATGATATAACAATCGCATATTAATCCAAAAATCGCAAAATAAATTCACTATTTAATAGCCGCCCCCATACCCTCCGCCATACTCGTCACCACCGCCATACCCGCCCCCATAGCCACCCCCGTGTTCGGCTCCATAGCCACCCTCATAGCCTCCCTCATAGCCTCCTTCATAACCTCCGTCGACATAGGTGGGCGCCTCCTCTACGGGATAATACTCTGGATACGGTTGTTTCACTGGTATGGGACAGGTATAATAGTCATTATTAATATAACTAGGCTATATTGTTTAAATCTAAAAATAATTACCTGGGACATTGTGCACAACAGGAACTTTGTGTATGTTTTTCTTGACGACCACTGGTTGTTCAGATTTTTCTACCCTATTAAACGTGAATTTGATCAAGTTAATATCATTAGCTAGTGAATATTATAAATAAATGTAATCATAATTAGGTTAATTTAATGTTGTATGTATAGAATATAAAATACAATATAGTATTTCATTCTATTCATTATTTTAGTTAATAGAATATAAGACTTTTATTTTATATAATAAATTTTAATATAATTATAAAATAAAAGTTTTGTAATAAATTATCAATACTAGCACATATAACTTACAATGGCGTAAAATAATCTAATTTATACATTACTGATAATAATAGCAAAATCAAAATTACTTACTTGAAAGGTATGGGTAGCGGGAGTGGGATGGGTATGATACCAATTTTAGGCTCTAATTACAATGGCAAAGCATCGGTGGATATAAGCAAACATAGACAGTGGACAGGGATCAAACAGAAAGCAATGATTAGAAAACCGAAACAATAGACAGGGGAAATGGATGCTACAAAGTATGCCATACTTTTAGACTTAAGCACAAATAGGAAGGACAGTATGGATTTGATGGCCAGTGCCTCGGCCTTGTTGAGGGCGTTCACGGGTTTCATGTGCTCCTGGATTAGCACCAGTTCCAGCGACAGTATGGCCACTATGGCTAACGTCATGCAGCGTCGGCTACTGTATCCTAACGTCATGTTTGTCGGTATATATGAATATTCACCGCAAAATTAATTCAACGAAAAAACTTTTAATTATTAAAATGTATGCACACTTTGGGGACACACTTTCACTACTAGTATATATAAAACACTTTTTGGGAAAACCTCACTATTACTACTGTATATATATATTAAATTATGTATGAAATTAATTTAGCATACACGTTTTAGATATGTGAATTAGATATGAATACCAGTGCCGAAAAGTTGGCGGACCTTTTATATACCATTTGTCTTTGAAGTTATATACATACAAATGGTTAAGGGGTATGGGAGGTTATATAGTTTTAGGGATTGGTATGGCCTACCAAACTGATTGATACACGTGTTCTCAATTCACTTTCAATTTCCAATGAGAGGGCTATTATCGGCAACCGATAGCAGTAAAAAAGAAAGTTTTATTTTAATTAAACACAAATAAAACTTATAAAAACTATATTTATATACAAATCTGGCGTAAAAAACGCACAAATTTTTTATACACTCATTAAAATTGACGGCAATTATTGACAGTTTTTTTATCTCATGTAAGTATATAAGAGTTTTATTTTTTGTGTGATTAGTGTTTAAATTTAATCCACCAGAATATTTATATGCAAAATAAAAGTAAAATATACAACAAATTTAGAAATTAGAAAATAATAATAATAATAATAAAAAGCGATTTTT